TTAAAAGGTCACCTATAAAAGAAAGAATGACAGTTTCTTTCCCATAACTTCTGTGAAGCAAACTAATTAGCTACCAGTTCAGTAGGTTCTCTCATGGCATCACCACACCACCGCCACTGGTGTCCTATCTGTGGTTACAGGTGATGGTCTTTTTGGGTCAAACTCTGTATTAAAATACAGAAAGTATACTCTCTCCTAGAACCAATTAAAAAAAAAAATTTAAGTATCAGGATAGGTTTTGACAGTTCCAAACTTCAGTCAAAAACCTCAAAAATAAAATCATCCTCATGGAGTCTTTCAAATGATTTTATCTCATTGATTTGCTTTAAATTCATTCGACGTAGAAGAAATCAGGGCTGGAAGATGAACATACACATCCTGTGGCCCTAATGGAGTAATTTGGTCCTTACGGGCTGACTTTCTGTGTGTGCAAATATTGTAAAGGAAAGCCAGCTCGCTGGACATCAATGCAGGCATCAGAGCATGCATGCCTGAGGGCAGGGTAATGGCCCAAATCTTTCAGCTACAGCGAGCTGCGAGTGCCAGCAGTAGAGAGGCCATTTGCAACTGGAGCACTGGTTTTGGGGATGGAGGTTGTTCATTCAGCTTCTATATACTATGCAGTATGAGTGAAAACTAGAATAATCTTTGTCATTTTTATTTTTTGGGGTGGAATACCCACATGAACAAAAAACAACTCGGGAGAAAGTGCAGAATGAGATCTTTATGAATTTCTTGGGACACTGCTTGTGTTTAGTGAGGTCCAAACACCACGGGATATAAAGGAGTGAAAACCTCAGTCCATGAGACTGCAGCACCTAAAACATCCCAACGTAATATTCCTTTCAAGAAGACCAAATAGACTTCCACTTGTTTGACGTAATGTGTTTGTGTTGCAGCCATCTCACCCCTCCACCTGCATATGCTCTGGGCAGAGACCCTCTTCTCTAGTTACCTGTATCAGGTTTAAGTGCAGTAATGCTTGGTCTTCACTTCAGCTTCCTCAAAAATAATTCAGATATTTGTCCTCCTTCCTGGAGATGCTGATGACTAAAGCACTTTTATCAAGAGAGCATGAAAGTCCACAAGTTCAAATCTGTGTCCATCAAAGCTACCAGACCTGTGTGCAACACCCCCTCTCTACCAGGGGGTGAGGGGGAGTCTCATTTCTGGAAAAAAGGTCCCCCAAAATCAACCTCCCCCTGATTGTTTTCTCACATCCCACTGGATATATTTGGTACAATTTAAAATTAAACACTTCTTTGCTCTTCAGTTTTTACACAGCAGATTTATTTTCATTCTGGAGCTTCCCATGAAGAGAGATCTGTTTGTTTTCCCTTTTTACAGCAGAATTTTGGAATTCTGGATTCTGTTAAGGTTGCAGCTTGCAAACAGAATTTCTATCCCCTTTCAAGTATTGACTAGTCAGATGTTCTCAAAGGACCAGTTTCAGGCAAAGGGCTTACGCAAATAACAAGCTCTCTGAAGACTGTCAAATTTCCATTTCAATGCCACTGCAATTTAATTCTTCATCTGGGCTGTCTCTCCCAGCAAACACAGCATCCGTGCTGTTTATACGTGTACTAACATGCTTTGAGTTCTATTTCCCTGTAGAAGCAGCAATAAATTTCAAGTCATGAGCAAGTTGGTCTTACTCTGGGGAAACAAAAATTGTACTAACAGAAACCCCACTGAGGGTTTTTCTTCTTGTTCCAGTGTCTTACATTAAATGATTTGCAGTTGCTCCCCTGCGAGTCCAATCCTCAATGGCAGAAGCGAGGTACGCTCTAGGAGTCTGACGACTGTGTAAACAGAGCTGCTTTTGGAAGTAGGCAGTTTAGACTGAGAACACGACGCGCTAGAAATTAAATTCTGGCTCGACTCTCTCTATTGTTCTCTGTGCTCAAAAGGAAAAATATGCTTCTGAACCCTGCCTATAGCGTGCAAAGGAGAGCCACATTTCAGCAAAACCATCAACATCTAAAGGTTAGTGCAGAAAGGTGTCTCAATGCAAGCCAAGAGACATGACATCAATTTGGAGTAAGTTTCTTCCCCTTCCTAAATCACCTGGAGTCAAAGTAGGGAAGGTCCTTTTCCCAAGAGAAGCAATGTCACTAGTCACTCACTAAGGACCTGGGCCAAGGAGCATGTGCGTGTAATACAGGGATTATTTCTGCACTGGACCTGTGTTTGGACTCTCGTGTATGAACTGTGGATAACCTTCAGGAGATTTGCAAGGCCTCCAAGAGTGACTCCCCACAACGACTTCTCTACCACCTTGATTTATTCAGGGCTAAACCTAGAAAACAACAGTCCTTTTCCAAGAAACACCCATCTATAAACAGAATATTCCTCTTACATACATCCTGCTGCGGGCTCAAAAATACCCTGTGGTTATCATTAGCTTGTTTAGCTTTTGACACTGTATAAATCTGCAACAGGCATTCAAGTATGAACTCCAAAATCTGTACAGTCAAAATGTTAGTGCGGAAAGAGAAAGAACTGAAGTCTCTTACGGATTACAATTCCTCATTTTGGCCATTTAAGTTTATGCTTCCACTCAAACTTTCTCTGGTTTTCGCCTTTTTAGCCCTCAAAGGGTTTACATAAAGCAAATCCAGCTCTGGCAAAGCTGCGGAGCTGTATGGTTGCTCACGAGTTCATAGGTGCTAGTTCTCCTTTGAGTAGAAGCTGGCAGTACCGATGGTGCCTCCTCACAGTAAAGACTAACACATCATGAAAACACAGCAGGGTTTTTTTTCCACACGTATGCGAAGGCTGTATTACAAATTGAAAGAAAAATCAACAAGCCCCTCCTCAAACAAGGACAGTAAACAGCCTCATGATTCAGAGGCTAAATCATAGCAGAGTAACAAATGCTACAAATAACTGTCATGTATTCTGCAGAAACGGGCTAAAAGTTCCCATACAATCCAGTGCCACCACCTGAGACAGCAGTGCCTCATTCTCAGCAACCACATTAATTCCTCAAAAAGTTCTTGACAATCTTGACAGTTTCAACCCACAATAGCTCCATTTCATAGAATCATAGAATGGTTTGGGTTGGAAGGGCCCTTAAACATCATCTAGTTCCAACCCCCCTGCCATGGGCAGGGCCACCTTCCACTAGACCAGATTGCTCCAAGCCTCATCCAGCCTGGCCTTGAACACTTCCAGGGATGGGGCATCCACAGCTTCTCTGGGCAACCTGTTCCAGTGCCTCACCACCCTCTCCATGAAGAACTTCTTCCTGATATCTAACCTAAACCTCCCTGTTTTCAATTTAAACCCATTACCCCTTGTCCTGTCACTACAGGCCCTTGTAAAAAGTCGCCCCCAGCTTCCTTGTAGCCCCTTCAGGTACTGGAAAGCTGCAGTATATAATTTGACCTCCTGGGCTTGTGAAAGTCTCAAGCAACTGGTGCCACTCAAGACTGAAAAAGTTAATGCCTAAATTAGGGAAGAAATTTTCCTTTCCCCTCCCTCTCTTCAGCTCGTAATAAACTGCACAAAGCAATCTGGGTACAGTGGTTTCTGCACTATCAACCAATGGCAAACCGCAAATTCCCAAGTGCACTTACAAAGGAAACCAGCCAAGAGCACGCCTCCACAGCCCTTAATCAAAAGTAACATCTGAACTCTGGCACAGTCTGAATCTTGGCTAGAATATGTACTGGACAGGGGGCCGTCTATCAGTAGCTCTCAACAGCCAGCAGAGATTTATCCTACCTTGGTTGTCTTCAGTCACCAGCTAATCACTGAACAGTCCTGAATACCACACATAACTCAATCCCTCAGAGACTAAGACCATACAATTGGCCAGGATTTAGGTCTCGGTAACATCACCTACATGCAAAGATCTGCTTTGCGTTCCCTCCCCCGTGGGCTTCCTTAGAATAAAGCATGAATTCTTATTTTCTTATAAGATCCCCAAAAGAGAGTTTCAAGCTCTGTGAGACAATCATGACCAGAAATGTTGGTGTCTAAAACAAAAATAATTCATCTGTACAACTAAGAGTTTCCTGGAGAGCAGCTCTGGAGAGTGCAGAGAACTCTTACAGAAACCACAGACCATTTTCATCACCTGCTTTGAACAGAGAGCATATTTATTCAGAATTAATCCCGTAACCAACCCAGGGTACCTGCAATTAAACAGGCATTTTTCATATCTGCTTACAACATAAAAGGCTTCCACACTGAACCATTTCTTGAAATATGCTTCTTAAGCCCAAACATGCGACCGATGTTTGTCACAACCTATACCACACCACTGTAAACTATTGACCTGTCAAGTGAGACTCACACCTACAGGCTTCCCAGCATGAGCCTTCATAGAGTCATACACTGAGCATCTGCTGCTGCATCTGCAGTCATCAGTCTCAGGAAGGAGAATTTTAACACTGAACTTGATAATTTTGACAACTGGGAAGCCAGAGTTGAACTAAAACCCATACACCAGTGGCACTGACAACAAGAAAATATGGAACTGCAGAGAAACAGCAACAGAACCCTTTACCACTGCATTTCTTCTTCCTCCTCCTGGTGATGTTCAGAGCTTTTTCCCCATGTCACAGAGCTCTCTTACACTTCCCTTCCCACTTACGTCCCACATTATTCCTCCGGTGCAAGACTGCTTACAACTAATCCAGTCAGGGTTGAAAACAGCTGATGGTTATCCCTTTTTTGGGGGTAGAGTACGCACAGATCTATCTTACGCACAAACAGGCAATCTCCAGATTCAGACAGAATTATACCCACAACCTACCACAGATACATACTCAACTGGGCAAAGTCAGACTGAGCAAAAACCCAGCTGTTCCAGGTATTTACAATACAGGATTCAAATACGAGCTGAACACTTAAATTTTAGATGTTTCAAACCCTGTATTTTGGCAGTGACTCCTATGCTGGGTAAATGCTCTCGTATCACAGGAGTGATCAGTTTTAGCAAACTGCAAGAATGAGAATGAATTAAGCAGCACTGTGAAACAAAGTATTACCAGGAATCGTTCCTCTTTTTCAAGCCAACGCTGGTCTTCTTCCATCTCTTGTTGTTGTCGTATCAATCTCTCCTCCATAAGATGTGTGGGTAGAACCTGGCCCATTCCTCGTACGTCCAAAGTGCCCGGATCCTACAAAACAGAGTAAGTTTATTCAGTCTCACCACTTAAAATTTGCATAAACAGCTGCAAAAACTTACAGATTATCAAATAATAGATTTTTAAAAGCCCAAACACATAACAGCAGTCAAACAGAGTTCCTTCAATTCCTTATAAACTGAAGCAGACCAGGACAAGCAGCTCTTTCCAATGAAAAACATTTTATCTGCCTCACTCCTAATCACTGGAACCAAAGAGATTTGAAAAATTCAGTTTTGTTTTGCAGTAACATTGTCACTTCATATATTGCACTTCATTTAAGTTGGACAACAAAACCAGATTTATCAATCTTTGTTTTCTTGGTCGGGAGCAATAAGCTAACTCTCCAGTTGTTAAAAGCTGCAAGATACATTTTTGTACCCAAAACAAACATGCTTTTTCAGTTTTAGCTGACATTTGCAAAGCTTGTCACAAAAATATCTTCAATGGATTTTCGAATGCATTTTTATGCTTGTCTTAAGCTTACACATAAGCTGAAGCTCCACATACCATACCCCACTGCTGCCTGGAAATCATTAGCAAATAGTGTATAAATTAGTATTCTTAAAGAAGCCAAGGGGAGTTTGGTCACAAATTTCATTGAGATTGTTTTTAGGTAACGAACTTCGCAAGCTTTTGTGAAAACTTTGGCTGTGACATCATTAGGAACCCGTGCAAAGCATTCACGTGCTTCCACCACCTCTTTATTCAAGCACAACATAGACTAAGTTGCTTCCCAGTAAATAATCTACAGGGATGTTGAACAACTTGGGACTACAACCCCCAACCATGTACAGTGTGAAGAACAGCACAGCAGCAAGCTGCCATGGCAGAACGTATGGCCAAATCAACCACGAGTAAGCAGAGGCAAACTGGAGACTCGGACGCCTGTCTGCTCGCCCGTATTTAACAGGTAAGCCTGTTCCCATTTACATGTTTATCTGAGGCACAGGGCACTGGTTAGAGAGGAAACGGATTTAAGTGAATCTTTGTGGAAGGATAAAATAGAACAGAAAAAAGTATACAATATTGGAGAGGGAGAGAAAAAAGTGACGGAAGGTTAAAGGGGGAATTAATTTGATGTTCCTTGCAGCAGCTCTGTATAATCGTGACAGGCTGAAGAGCACCTGACAGGAATACAACTCAAGAACAATTTTGCAGACCAGGTCATTTTTTGTGCTGGATAAGTTACAGATACACTCAGATACTTCAGCTATGCCAAGTATCTCTCAGGAGAGGTATTTTTAACAGTAGTAATATCACCTATTTTTACATCAATGTTCCCATCTCTATCAACAGCAGTAAGTTTCAGTTAAACCTTCTTTTGTTACAACGCAAAATATTTGCTGTCACTCAGTTAAAATAATAAGTAGTAATAACATAACCAAAAATCCATGTAAAGAGTACACTTTATGCCCAGTCTCACATAGGAGGATGTTTTAAAAAGGACAGAATTCAGTCATGACGCCCATCTCATGGCAACTTAAGGCAACAATACCAGAGAAACAATTTTCCTACAATAATCTCCAAATGTATCTGAATAACAAAAAGGTGTATCTACTGTACAGAACGCAACAACAAATGTGTCACCATACCTCCATGTTTGGTTGCCACACTGATATTTCTTGAGGCCTATGGTTCCAGGAATCTGCTTGATCCAAGAGAGAAGCCTGCCCAGGATAAATGCTGCCTGCCATGGCTGGTATCCCGTGAGAGCCAGGGTAGCCAGACACCTTTTGGGGGGTGGAGGGAAGAAAAAAGAAAAAAAAGAATTGTATTAATAAGACCTATGCTTCCCTATAATTCCCCATAATTCCCCTTTGAAGGGGGCCCACAAGGAAGCTGGGGGGGACTTTTTACAAGGGCCTGTAGTGACAGGACAAGGGGGAACGGGTTTAAATTGAAAGTGGGGAGGTTTAGATTGGATATCAGGAAGAAGTTCTTCACAGAGAGGGTGGTGAGGCACTGGAACAGGTTGCCCAGAGAAGCTGTGGATGCCCCATCCCTGGAAGTGTTCAAGGCCAGGCTGGATGAGGCTTGGAGCAACCTCGTCTAGTGGAAGGTGTCCCTGCCCATGGCAGGGGGTTGGAACTGGATGGGCTTTAAGGTCCCTTCCAACCCAAACCATTCTATGATTCTGTGATTAATAGTTTCCCCTCCCTCCCTGGTCCAAGGCAGCAAATATGAGAGTACAGAAATGACTCAATTCAAGCAGACACCGAGTAGGAGGAGGAGGGAACATCAGAAGAAGGAAGCCAAGCCAAAATATGGCACAAAAACTTTTCAGTCTTTGAGGATGCCTATCGTAACATAAATACGGAAACTTCTGTAAACACGTTAACAACAAAAGGAGGGCTAAGGAGAATCTCCATCCTTTACTGGGTTCGGAAGGAAACATAGTGACTAAGGCTGAGGAAAAGGCTGAGGTACTTAATGCCACCTTTGCCTCAGTCTTTACTAACAAGACCAGTTGTTCTCTGGGAACCCAGCCCCCTGAGCTGGAAGACAAGGATGAGGAGAAGAATGAAGCCCCCATAATCCAAGGGGCAATGGTTAGTGACCTGCTGCACCACTCAGACACCCACAGGTCTATGGGGCCAGAGGGTCCTGAGGGAGGTGCTCACCAAGCAAGAGCTACGCACGCACAGCTCACATTCAGGCGAGTAGCAGCCTGCACACATCACTCCACAGTCACACCAAAATGTATCCCCTGGTGTATGTTACAAGCTTAAGTCTTGAGCGACAGCATGTAATTAGTGTGCTTAGCTGCGTGGCCCGAGAACCTCCCCACAGGAAAATCAACATAGCTTTAATGAGTCTGAGTTACTCATTAAACCAATGAAAACCTCCCCTGCTCCGTGAGAAAAGAAAAAAAACCATAGAATCATAGAATGGTGTGAGAAAAGAAAAAAAATCATAGAATCATAGAATGGTTTGGGTTGGAAGGGACCTTAAAGATCATCTAGTTCCAACCCCCCTGCCATGGGCAGGGACACCTTCCACTAGACCAGGTTGCTCAAAGCCTCATCCAACCTGGCCTTGGACACTTCCAGGGATGGGGCATCCACAGCTTCTCTGGGCAACCTGTTCCAGTGCCTCAACACCATCTCTGTGAAAGATTTCTTCCCGATATCTAATCTAAACCTCACCACTTTCAATGCTTAAAGTACTTTCATGACAAACTTTTGTTTTAAATTTCTTCAGCACTGTCAGGAAGAAAAGCAAAACCTGTGAGAATACGATGCTGTAGCTCTAAGGGCAGCTGTCAGCCAACAGAAAATAAGTGTTTCAGAATAACATCACGAAGCAAAGTATCAATAAGCCCAAGGAAAGTCCACCAGTTAATGCCATTTTATAAACCAAGTGATTTCATAGCTTAGCACAAATGTTAACATGACCACCACATTCCTTCAATAAATATGGAAATGTCTGATGTGTTTCACTGGAGTTTTAGGAATTTGAGCAGTATGTAAGATATGAAAATATTTGCCATCTGGAGTAATCCTACCAGGCTCAGTTCGGGGTTTGTTCTGATGTAAAACAAAAACCATTGAACAAAACACAGTGAAAATAAACGGCATTAAGAAGTGAATCAATCCCACCAGCTGCAACTGAGTTATAAATCCCCCATTTGAAAAAATACACGCACAGTGTTAAATGTAATACCTGGTAATGGTTTGGCTGTACCATATGCTGTGGACTTGGATAAAACCCTTCACTGGATCTTGGGCTGGGGTAACCAGGCCTACTGGGCTGTAAACGTAAAGGAATTTTTTTAGAGTCTTTAGAAACAGAAAACTAAACCCAGAAAATTACTCTTTGGTGAGACAAACATTTACAGTTGGTGCAACACAAAAGCAAGTTCAACCCCTCCTCCACTGAAATGAATATGCTAAAATGACTAACTTTTTTTTTTTTTAAGCAATTAAAATTAATTGTTCTTCCATGTTTGCTTGGAAATGGAAGCAGCTGCATTGTTTGCTAGGCATGTCAGTAAATAATGCTTGGTCTGTGACTTCTTTGTGCATATTTACTTGCTTGCACTAAGTGACTCCTCTGTGCTGTTTAACTCTACAGAGGCCTTCCACTAAGAACGCACTAAATCAAATTTCCAGGTGCAAATACAGCATTGTTTCTAAGTCCACAATCTGCAATACATAAAAGTTTTGCTCTTAATTTGTTGCTTTTGTGACCGTTCCCAAAAGGACATTCTTTTGCTTGACTCAGAACACAAATCAAACTGGTTTGTTTAGCATGAGTATTTCCATGTGTTATTCTGAGGACTAAAGTTAGTTCTGATAATTAACTTCTATGTGACTAATTGCCTCAACATGGAATAATTAACTTCTGTGTGACTAATTGCCTCAACATGGAAGGTGCTTTTGATCATATTCTGAACTCCATGGTTGCTTCATTATCCATGCTTTATTTTGCAACCCATTCCCAGATGAGAAAAAACAAGACCAGCAAAAAAGGACAGCTAAAGAACAGCTATCAGAAGTCTTTATCTCACTATCCTGCCCTACCCCTTCAGAAGGACAATACTTTACACATAAACAAACAAGATGTATAATCACAGGAATACAAAGTCACCAGAAATTCAAACAGCATTATTACAAAAAACTGCATTTCAAGGTTTTCCGCACACATTGAACAGACCAGCCTTTTGCCAGAACAGGGTTAGCAATTTCACACTACTGAAAGAAGTAATGTTGGAAAATGTTGCTCAGAACAACATACTCTGACGTTGCAAGCAGAAGCATTCTGTTATTTTGTTTGATATTAACCTCCCGTGTGTGTGTGTGCATATATATGTATGTACGTTTTAAGAGGAACAGTGCTGCAGTTAAAGGTGACCACCACATTACTTTGAGAGTGCAGAATTTTATCACCACTTGATGAAAAATGTCATTATCATTCCATATTAGGATATTTTTTGTCATAGGCTTGTAACTGAATCCACTGTGAGATAAACTAATTTTAATTTCATAGTACAAATTGTGGTATCTGTGGATTATTTGAGAATATGTAGGAGTTTAAGGCTATAAATAAAAACGTAGTTTAAGATCTAGAAAGACCTGAAACTTTTATAATGAATTGTTAGAAGTAAAAAACAGTTGTTACCATTAGAAAATTAGACAATAATTTAGGAGATACTTAAAATCTTGTACCTATGAAATTGCACTTACTCAAATGTCACTAGTATGCACATCCATATTTAACACAAAAATACTGTGTAAGAAAACCTCACCAACAACTGAACTGCATATACAGTGAGGACATACTGACCTTTTCAAGAATGATATGCAGTGGTAAAATTAATTTCAGCCTTAACGCATCTTTTGTCGAGCGTTTCAGTTTATACATCACACTCAAAGCTCTAACGATGACCGTTTCTAATACAGCGTAGCTCATATTTTACATTAGTAAAAGGAACTTCTTCTATCTGGATTAGCCCCAAAGCTTCAAGACTAAACAAATTCTTCAAACAAGGCTGTAATAATTAAGTAGCATATTGTTCCAATTTATGCAATTTAAGTGCTTCTGTAACTCGGAACACTGTCTGTTTATATGTATCTACCAAATCCTGCTGGTTAATCTCAGATGACTAAACAGGCTGATGGATTGTTGCTGTTTTTAACTCGGAACTGAAAGCAACAATTCCACTGCCCGTATTTCTTGGTTGCCATAAAGCTAACAAAACTCATAACCAAACTTGGAAATCTATCAGGCAACAACCTGGGTATGGGGAAACAAACCAAAATAAGTTGCTTTTCTATGACTGCTGGGCAACGTGGGCAGCAGAAGGTTGCACACGACTACTACCGAGATCATGACCAGCACCAGAGCTTGCGTATACAGCTCCAGGAATTCATCACAAACTGAGGAGAATGCAGATAATATTCCATATTACAGTGGTGAGTGCACAAAATGAAACTCTCCAAAACACAGGCTCGATCCTTTCAAGTACAAACTAAGTTCAATGAGAAGCAGAGGAGTTACTAAGAGACAAGGTTAAACTACCACAGCTGCAGAACCCATCAGCGACATCCAATCAGGACAGACATGTAATGAAAGCAAATGAAGTGTAAACTAAACACATAAGGTCCTTGGAAGCAAATCCCTAGTCTTCTGTCTAGAATAAAGGAAAATGCAATTAGTTGATTTCTATCCTCTCACTGACGTGTTATAAATAAACTTCCCAGTGGTCTGAGGGCTCACTGGCTGAAGTTTCACAGGAGTGCTACAAGAAAGAAGAAAAAAAGAAGAGGCCAGGAAACAATTTTGTGGCAGCTGTGGCAGTCTTTTACAAGTAAAACAACAAGAAACAGAAAATTGCTAGTGTGATATTACAGCACGGATCAGTTCTAAAGGCAGTTCAAGTAGAGCAGGGTCATTTCAGGTAAGTGTTAGCAGATGATGACAAAATTGGTCAGAATGCCACTGTCTGAACAAACCCAGGAAAGGAGGCTTTGAAGAAATAAATGAAATAAAAAGGGGTTTTTTGGTTCATTTTTTTAAAGGTACGTAATTTCCAGTCTTTTCTTAGGTACCTTGGGAGGAGCTTCATCTGATCCTCCAGAGTCCCAGGATACTGTGACTTGTCGCCTGGATTCCATTCTCATTCGTTCTTCTTGCTGCAGCTTCTCTTCCTCCAGTATTGTACTAAGAAAAACACAGTATATTTAAGTAGAACTCCAGTTCAACGTAACAAACCTCTCCCCACAGCTCCCACATTTTTCAGATGAGTGAATACCATCTGACAAAGTGACCGAGACCTGAAACAAAAACTTGTTTTACTTCTATTAGTTAGGTTTCTGAAAACCAGTATCAGGAAGAAATACTTCTGTAGGATTAGCAGCGTGCTCTTAGTAACAGAAGCAGTGACGAGTTTTGAGAGAGCTGTGGTCGATCTTGTTAGCAGTTCTCTTGATGTGCAATTACCCAGAGAAATCCTCAAAGACAACAAACAGAGCACTCGCATGAAAACTTATTTTTCACAAGAAAACATTCTACTTAAACTGCTGCAAAGGTTGAGAACAAACTGAAAACGCTCAACAGAGCTTCAGATCACTGGGATTATTTTTCCTTTTTAAACAAAGCAGACAAAAAAGCATTTCAAATACTATGCCTCCAGCTCTTATGTTTTAGCCTAACCAGGAACACATTGAGCAAACTGAATTAGCAAAACAGAAATACCGGTCAGTATTCACTCAGCTTCTTAACATTCAGGTCAAAAGGCCACATTTTCGACAAAGAACAAGACAGCAGTAAAACTAGTTTGCTACTTACCACTGTTCTGACTACTAAAGACTGTTTGAAGTTCAACGTGATACTGCTGCCCCCACAGCAGCCTCCTCCCAGTTCTGCTATGTGGATTATTAATGTTGGATATTTGCCATTCGAAAAATACTCAGAATAAAGCTTTGAAACAGGGAACTGCGAATTCGCTGGAGCTGCACGCTACAGGGATAGTCTGGAGACTTGAGCAGGGCAGGTTATTTACACATCGATATCCCAGGGTAATCCTGTGAAGGAGCGATTCCAGCTTCTTTATCACTCAAGAGTTTCCAGAAACAAAGCTAGGTTCTGAGTTTGTAATCTCCTGCTCAGTCTGTGAAATAACCACCCAGAATTACTCATGCAGGGGATGAGATCAGCTCCAGCAATCTATTCTAATCTTGGAACTTTACTGCCTATTTCAAGAATAAATTCCTGCTTGGTTGGAGACGAGAACTCTGCTTTTCCTTACTCAGCCCGAAAAAATCCATGTCACTTCTAAAAAGCAGAGCAGTCATCTCGTCTCGCTGCAGCTAACCCAAGTGTATAAGCATTGCTGCAATTTCCATCCATCATTGCCGCAGGAACACAAGAATGTGGAACAAGACCAACATCAGACAAGTTATTTGCAAAAGCCATCCTGATATAGCTACCACGGAAACACAGCTACAGCCCAACAGAGGGAACTAAAAAGATAAGATCTTTTTATTTCACCTCTCTCCTTCTTCAGAATATGGAAAATGAACTGTTTCCTACTTGAAGCCATGAAGAACTAGCAAAAACCCACTGCTTTAAAGCCAGGTCACGCTTCAGATACTCAGCACGCGTTTCTATGCAGCACAAGAAATTAGCCAAAATGCATCCACAGCCATGAACCACGATTATGACTTTTCAAGAAATAAGATGTAAAGAAGCCACAACAAAACACCACCACAAAAAAAAAAAAAAAAAAACCACCTAGCCGCTGCATGAATAAAATACAGATTTTTAACACAGCTGTTGATACGGCAGTTGCTCTAATCTGACCAACAGAATGGAACAAGAGTTGGCTGAAAGCAGCTGTCTAAATTTAGAGATGGCTTATTGACAATTTGAGGCCATGGGCAGAATTTGTCACAGCACAGTCCTGGTTTTCCGTAAGAAGGAATGAAACACCGATATCTATCTGCCCGGTCGTCAAAGCCATTTGATCTGTGGTCCCACAGTATTAAATACAATACCATTAACTTCAAACCCGTCACTGGAAATGATAAATTTCTACTGAATTGACTTGTTTTTCATAACTAAGGCTCAGCTTTTTGCCTTACAATTGTAATTCATCCCACCCTGCTTTTCCGTCGCCTGTGTCATCCGGAGGTCCTTTCCCCGGCAACCCAGTAAGTAGCCTGGTCAAAGGCTGACCAGCTGCAGCAGAATTCCTACTTGGATGCCCTTCAGTACTGCTGACAAGAATATAAAATAGAAATGCCTCCAAGTAGCATTACTCAAAAAAAAAAAACAAACCCACAAAAGGATATAAATGACTCACAGAAACGGCTTTGTTTTTACAAAGGGAAGACCAATCCATAGACGGAGCAAAAGTGTGCCAAGAAATATTTTTGACCTTTTCTCAGTGCAGCTGCTCAAGAACTCTGAACAGTTTATTAGAATTTGCAGAAGGTCAGGAAAGTCAGATCTAGGCATATTTTCCCAAACTGCAAATATTTTTAGCAGCAAAGAGGAGCAAGCAGAGAAGTTCATACGATTCCCCCAGCAAATCTTGAGGGAATACAGACCAACCGATCTTCTTGGCTAGGTTACGTCTGATGAAAAATCTCAACTATTAAAATTTTGCATAATTGATAAACTTATTTAATTTACAAAGAATCTTTTTACTGAAATGGGCCTGTGATACTGAAAACGAAACATCTACTGGGAGCTTCAGTGCAGGAATGTCTGAAATATTAAGATGTACCCTTACATTTCAAAAGGCACAGCAATACCGGTGTTCGCTGCTGTGGTGCTGCAGGAACCTACGGAAGCGCTGACCCTGAACAAACCCCTTCTCTTTCTCCTTGCCACCTCCAGCCACCAGAAATGCAAAGCTGGATGCAGAGGAACATTTTCACATATCCCTCTAATTTAAAAACACTGTCAAATGGATCATATATTGCTCCTAACACTCACTGTCAAAGAGCAAAAGGCTATAAGGAAGCATTTTGCAGTCTCCATTATGTATTTCAAGTCTGTGTTAAAGTATTTTTGACAGGAGTCCATGAAAGAACAGGAATCAAACTGCCCCCACACTTATCAGTTTTGTTTCTTTTACCAGTTTTGTTTCTTTTATTTATAAATAACATTTCAGGACCTATATCAAATGCAGTCATGGAAAGGCTCAAGTCCAGTTTTCATCAGTTACTTATCTCACTGTTGTCATAGAAACAGACTTTAAAAGCATGAATCAGTCTTCTTTTCTTTTTTCTTTTCTTTTTTCCATTCTTTTCAGAGCTGGATTTAATGTGACTTGCAGGACTAGAATGCTAGTGGGATCATCCACTCTCAAAACCTGTTCTGCATCACCAGTGACCAACAGAGGGCTGGAGTGACATTCTTATCACGGCCGGGATACAACTGCTGCTTATTTTGCTATTTTAGGAGAAAGAGTTAGCGATAGCTACTTAAACAAAATTCACTGAATGATGCAGTGAAAATTCCATGCAATTACATTCATTCGTAAGCTCAAAATTAAAATCCAACTTAACCTCCAATGCAAAATCCACCAGTTTTATCAGAATTACCAACCCAGTGGACATTCAGGGCAGCAGACTCGCAAGCGTAAGCCTGGGAACTGACTTACCAGAAAGCCTGTGAGTATACTGGTGCTGCCTTAGCATTGCACACTTGCAGCATACGGAATACAGCAGAGAATAAATTACATTTAATAGTACACGCATGTATGAGACAGTGTATGGCTACAGTGAGTGGTGAGGAGTCATTCTGAAGGGAAATACTGTAAAGGAGATGTTGCATGATTTGGGTACACTGAACACTTTGCCTTTTATATTATTTACCATGTAGTGCAAGACTAAAAATCTCTTCGACACAAAATCAGCCAGGCAGCACATGCTTCCTGATGAAAATATCCCAGATTCTAATTCTGGCCTAGTCAGTGACAGAATGGCAGCAATAGCAGGGTAGCGCCTCACTTTCCTAACTTCATCTCACTTTTATCACCATCACCCTCCCTCCAACTGAAAAAAGGACCTAGGATGCGAGGAGGAAATACATTTGGAAATCCACAACCCACCAATTAGTTTCTGTGTTTGCTGTGAAGGCTAATCTTTGCATTAGCCTTCATCTTTTCTTCATCATCAAGCATCTTTGCACCGCGCAATCAGCTGCAAATAAAGTTTGTGCAAAGCCATCAGAAACCAAACAGTGAACACACGGAATGCTTATGTTCCCATCGGTGCTATTTCAGACGCAGTTGTTTTTTTGCCCAAAGACTTTTTCTCACTAAAACGAAGAGGAACATTGCGGTGCTGCATCATCTTCAAGCAAACAACTCGTCTCCTCTCAGCTTGAAAAGACTACCCTGGATAGGATCCAGAATGAGAAGCAGCAACACCACACAGCAAAGGCCACCAGGGAAATGGCTTGTTTTTGCAAGTTCATGGGAATTTGAGTTTTGAAACATAATCTTTCCTAGCTGCCTGAGATTGCCTCATCATAAGGGAATTGGCAACCTTTCCAACAGGAGGCTGACTCTGTGAGCAGTGCAAAGAAGCCCTAAGGACAACCGTGCTCCTTAACTTTCAGGAGATAAAGGTCATGAGTTTGGAGTGGCAGAAACTCTCTGCTTTGGTTAAAAGAGAGTAAAGAGTGCATTTTAGGGTTGCTGTGGGGAGAGGTTGATCTCTGAACAAGGCTTCAGATGTCCCAGCATGACTAGAGAAGTAAAACTCCCCACTGTCCTCAGTGCATTTTTCATGTAGAACCAGACAATTGTTTAGGTTGGAAGGGCCTTCTGGAGGTCTTGAGTCCAATCTCC